TTTATTGTATATTTAATCAGATTTTATTAAAGAAATATTCTAGAATTGTATAAATTTTATTACAGATTTGATTAAAAATAAAACAAATTATGTTCAATATATTACTACAGAATAATGTGTATTCATTCAAGTTATATTTTATTGCAATTACAGAATAATACTAATATTATTCAAATCTTGTTTTGATTTAGTACATAAAACATCCAAATACAGTATATGCAAACTACATACTATTATTGTAATAACTTTTATTCGGCACTATGAATTTCATGAAGTCATCATTATATTTGATGTTAGTAATTGTCGGTGGCTTCGTGTAATGCATAATTATTGTTTTTGAGTACTTAATTATTCCATATATGCGTATTAATTATTTTTTTTTTCCTACAAAAAAAAGTTGGAATTAGTTTTTATTTATAAATATCTTTACTACATTTGAACCATTTATACCATTAATCCTTTTTTATTAGACACTTATGAAGGCTGTCTTTTAGTTGGCAAAGCATTGTCTTCCATGTTTATAGCTTTCGCAGATTTCATTTCTCCACTTCGTGCAGGTAGCGTTCCAATAATTTAATAAAAATTTGTTATTAAAAAAAGCAAATCGTCAAAGTGCGTTTAATGATAATGTTTAGAAACAATAGTAATATAATAATTCTATACTTACTTACTAATATTTCAACAACAAAAATATGATAAATATGAAAGTACAACTTAGAATTATTTTAGAAACAAGTATGATAGCGTTTGTACTTACGCCCTAATAATTCAGTAGAGAAATAAATGGAAATTCGTGATATCGAATTGCAAACCAATTAAAAATAAATGCAATAAAATTTATGTTTACGAGCTAATAATAATCCAACGTACGAATACGGTGAAAGTGAGTTAAGCGAATATGTTGTTGAAAATGAGTCAAGTGAATATGTTGAAAATGAGTCAAGCAAATATGTTGAAAATGAGTCAAGCAAATATGATGAAAGTAAGTCAAGTGAAAAAGTGAGTCAAGTGATTATGTTGTTGAAGTAAGTCAAACGAAGATGTTATTGAAGGTAAGTCAAATGAATATGTTGTTGAAGTAAGTCAAATGAATATGTTGTTGAAGTGAATAATTTTGTTGAAGTAAATCAAGCGAATAATTTTGTTGAAGTAAATCAAGCGAATATTTTTGTTGAAGTGAATCAAGTGAATATTTTTGTTGAAGTGAATCAAGTGAATATTTTTGTTGAAGTAAATCATTTAAATATATGAAAGTGAGTCACGTGAACATGTGAAAGTGAGAGTTAAAAAAAAATCAATTTAGAAATAAATTTAACGCATTTATATTTACAGGCTAATAATTCAACAAAAAAATAACAAATGCAACCAGAGCAAATTAAAGATGATATTTTAGTATACCTGGAAGTATGACTATGTAGCGTGTGGCTAGAATTTTGAGGTTTTTTAGGTTTGCCCGGTAACTTATTGGTATTATTGGAATCTCTATTTTGATTTTGGAGAGTAGTTAATGGAAGTCATGAAGAAGATGCTGATGCCACAATAGTATCATTCATATTTGTTGAAATTGGAGTTTTAACTTCCAAGTCATAAACTTGATCAGTAGCCTGAGTGTGTAATTAAAAATTAATTTAGTAGTGCTTTTTTTTTGAGATAATACATTTAGCTTTTTACATTAAGCCTAAGACTAGTTACAAATTCTTGAAGAGTTTCATTTGATTCTGAATAAGTAGAAGTACAAGAGATGGATTGTATGAAATCACTCAATTCAACCAATTGTTCTTAATTTATAAGTAGTTAATAAAGTTATTATGTATAAGAAAAATAACAACTATAATTAGTATTATACGTACCAGGTTTACTTTTTTTGTCGTAAAGTGAACGATTATTGTTGTAAAGTGAATGATTATTTATTTTGCGTTTCTCTGTATCACCTATTTAAAAATAATTAATTACGCCTACATGCATACTTTATAAACTATAATTTTATGCACATATGTACATATGTTTGTTATTTATTATTCCTCGCATCATTCGTCTAATAGCCCAGTCACATGTTGTAGAAGGAAATTTTGGGTTCTTTCGCTTGAACTAAAATAAAAGTTTTTTGTTTAACTATTTTAAGCAATCAACAATACAATTAAATTATGATTATATTTGCCTTTCTAATAATTTCACTCTTTTTATTCTCTGGAATTTTTCAAATTCAGGCATTTGCTTTGCATATTTAACCGTAATCATCAAACAAAGCGATTCCTAGATAACATCAATAATTATTATGATTATTTATTTATTATAATAATTATGCAATACATTCAATTTATCTATGATCTAACTCTTTCTAACGATCCTCTGGTCAACAACAACAAAAATCGAACTACAGCAAAACGTATAGAAAAGCGACGAAATGGATACTAAAACTTGGTCCTATAAATAGGAGCAGCTTGTTGTCGACAAAGTCTAAGCATCTAGACGTGAAATACCAAGGAGCAGGCATTAAAAGAATATGGACGGTTTTCTTTGGGTCAAGTTTCTTCTGGCAGACTTCCCAAAGTATTCGGCATCCAAATCAGAAGGTTTATTCTTGGAACAAGTCTGTAGAAGTAGCCAACATGCACTCCTAAGTGGTAGAAATGGAGAAGCTGGACTATACAACTGTAACTCTTACAAGAAGAACCTCACATACTCTTGTTGGCCCACCACTTTTT